TACTGTCATTTCGCCCTACATCATATCTTGTATACTTATTTATCCTCTTTTTCTTAAAATATGTATTACCTATAACTATACCCCTTTCTATACAAAGTTCAATCAAAGGGCTCCCATTATCATTTACACCTGGCACCCCAAACTTACCTACCACACCCTCTCTAAAAGTTTCTCCTACTTTAGCATTCAGGTCCCCTACCACAATTACTCTCTCACTTGGTTCAAAGGCTCCTATACATTCACTTAACATCTCCCAAAATCTCTCTCTCTCTCTCCTCTACATTCCTCTCTTCTCCAGGTGCATACACGCTTATTATGACCCACTTTTCGCATCCAACCTTTACTTTAATCCACATAATTCTTGAAATTACACATTCATATTCTCTTTTCTCCTTCCATAACTGATCCTTCAACATTACTGCTACCCCTTCCTTTGCTCTAACTCTATATACGACCGAAACAGTCAAAGGGTTAAGAAAACGCACTAAATGAATACCCATGCACTCTGCCCCATGCCCAGACTCATGGAACTCCATGTGAACTCACGTGCCTTAAATATTCTATGGAGAGAGAGTACAGACACAAGGTCATCCCACAGTCACTAAAAACAACAGATATAGCCCCACTCCACAAAGGTGGTAGTAAAACGATCAAAAAGAATTACAGACCGATAGCACTAACATCCCATAAAAATCTTTAAAAGGGTTCTAAGAAGCAAGATCACCAACCACTTGGATATCCAACAACTGCACAACCTAGGAGAGCATGGGTTCAGAGGGACTACAGGTATTCCTCACTTAACGACCTACCTTTTTAACGACCGCTTGGACTTATGACCAGCTCTCCAACTAGTATGCAAACCTAAGCAATGTATATTAGAGCTGATTTCCTTTAGTCTGTTTATTACTGTATACTGTATAAATATTTTAAAATACAGCCTCTCCTCACTTAACGACGGAGTTCCATTCCTAATACCACGTCGATAAACGAATTTGTCGCTAAACAAGGAGCATACTATAATGGTAGTGGGTATATGTCAACCATCTTTTATCCTGGTTTAATGTCACCCTTGCACCATTTATAATACTTTTATTATATTTGCAAACGTTTATAGTATACTGTATATTGTAATAAACAGAATAGAGGAACTCAGGTCTAATATACATTATTTAGGTATGAATACTGGCCAGAGAGTCTGTCATAAATCCGAGTCGTCGGTAAACGAGTACGTCGCTATGTTAGGAGAGACTGTAAACTAAAAATGTTACAAATGGTCCAAAGGTAGGTAGGTTGGTAGACAGCAACCGCCCAGGGAGGTACTACCGTCCTGCCAAGTGAGTGTAAAACAGAAGCCTGTAATTGTTTTACATGATGGTAGGATTGCTGGTGTCCTTTTTTTCTGTCTCATAAATATGCAAGATTTCAGGTATGTCTTGCTACTTCTACTTACACTTAGGTCACACTACACATACATGTACAAGCATATATATACACACCCCTCTGGGTTTTCTAATACAGTGGACCCCCACATAACGATCACCTCTGAATGCGACCAATTATGTAAGTGTACAGTGGACCCCCGCATACCGTCGGCATCACATAACGTTCAATCCGCATACCGCTCGCTTTTATCGCAAAAATTTTGCCTCGCATACCGCTCAAAAACCCGCTCACCGCTGTTCGTCCGAGACGCGTCCAATGTGCGCCCTTAGCCAGCCTCACATGTGCCGCCGGTGCCCCAAGAAAGCTTCTAGTGCCAACCCTACAGGAATAAGGGTGAGAATTACTATAGAGATGAAGAAAGAGATCACTGATAAGTATGAAAGTGGAGTGCGTGTCGCCGACCTGGCCAGGTTGTACAAGAAACCCAAATCAACCATCGCTACTATTGTGGGCAACAGAAAGGCAATCAAGGAAGCTGTTCTTGCCAAAGGTTTAACTGTGTTTTCGAAACAGAGATCGCAAGTGATGGAAGATGTTGAGAGACTCTTACTGGTGTGGATAAATGAAAAACAGCTAGCAGGAGATAGCGTCTCTCAAGCGATCATAAGCGAAAAGGCTAGGAAGTTGCATGAGGATTTAATTAAAAAAATGCCTGCAACTAGTGATGATGTGAGTGAATTTAAGGCCAGCAAAGGTTGGTTTGAGAGATTTAAGAAGCGTAGTGGCATACATAGTGTGATAAGGCATGGTGAGGCTGCCAGTTCGGACCACAAAGCAGCTGAAAAATATGTGCAGGAATTCAAGGAGTACATAGACAGTGAAGGACTGAAACCTGAACAAGTGTTTAATTGTGATGAAACAGGCCTGTTTTGGAAGAAAATGCCAAGCAGGACCTACATTACTCAGGAGGAAAAGGCACTCCCAGGACATAAGCCTATGAAAGACAGGCTTACTTTGTTGATTTGTTCCAATGCTACTGGTGATTGCAAAGTGAAGCCTTTATTAGTGTATCACTCTGAAACTCCCAGACCGTTCAGGCAAAAGAATGTCCTCAAGGAGAATTTGTGTGTGCTGTGGAGGGCAAACAGTAAGGCATGGGTCACTAGGGACTTTTTCTATGACTGGTTACACCATGCATTTGCCCCCAATGTGAAAGATTACCTAACTGAAAAGTAATTAGACCTTAAGTGCCTCCTGGTGTTAGATAATGCCCCTGGTCATCCTACAGACGTGGCAGAGCGACTTTATGGGGACATGAGCTTCATTAAGGTGAAGTTTTTGCCTCCTAATACCACTCCTCTCCTGCAGCCCATGGACCAGCAGGTTATTGCAAACTTCAAAAAACTGTACACAAAAGCTCTGTTTGAAAGGTGCTTTGTAGTGACCTCAGAAACTCAACTGACTCTAAGAGAGTTTTGGAGAAAGCACTTTAATATCCTCAATTGTGTAAACCTTATAGGTAAGGCTTGGGAGGGAGTGACTAAGAAGACCTTGAACTCTGCTTGGAAGAAACTGTGGCCAGAATGTGTAGACAAAAGGGATTTTGAAGGGTTTGAGGCTAACCCTGAGAGGATTATGCCAGTTGAGGAATCCATTGTGGCATTGGGAAAGTCCTTGGGGTTGGAGGTTAGTGGGGATGATGTGGAAGAGTTGGTGGAGGAGGACAATGAAGAACTAACCACTGATGAGCTGATAGATCAACTTCAACAGCAAGAGGCCAGACCTGAGGAAACTGGTTCGAAGGAGGGGAGAGAGAAATTGAAGAAATTGCCTACTACAAAGATTAAGGAAATCTGTGCAAAGTGGCTTGAAGTGCAAACCTTCATGGATGAAAATCACCCTCACACAGCTATTGCAAGCCGTGCTGGTGATTATTACACTGACAATGTTATGAAACACTTTAGGGAAGTCATAAAGGAACGAGAGGTACAGGCCACTATGGACAGATATGTTGTGCGAAAGAAGTCCAGTGACTCTGAAGCTGGTCCTAGTGGCATTAAAAGAAGGGAAGTAACCCCAGAAAAGGACTCGACACCTCAAGTCTTAATGGAAGGGGATTCCCCTTCTAAACACTAACACTCTCTCTCCCCTCCTCCCATCCCATCAATCATCACCAGATCTTCAATAAAAGTAAGTGTCATGTAATTGTGCATGCCTTTTTCAGTTTGTGTGTATTAAAATTAACATTTCATGTGGTAAATTTTTTTTTTTTCATACTTTTGGGTGTCTTGCACGGATTAATTTGATTTCCATTATTTCTTATGGGGAAAATTCATTCGCATACCAATCATTTCGCATAACAATGAGCCCTCTTGCACGGATTAAAGTCGCTATGCGGGGGTCCACTGTATTTATGTAAGTGCGTTTGTACGTGTATGTTTGGGGGTCTGAAATGGACTAATCTACTTCACAATATTCCTTATGGGAACAAATTCGGTCACTAATGGCACCTGAACATACTTCTGGAGTGAAAAAATATCGTTAACCGGGGGTCCACTGTATTTTCTTACTAGTTCTTGTTCTTTATTTTCTCTTACCTCCATGGGGAAGTGGAACAGAATTCTTCCTCCATAAGCCATGCGTGTTGTAGGAGGCAACTAAAATGCCGGGAGCAAGGGGCTAGTAACCTCTTCTCCTGTATATATTACTAAATGTAAAAGGAGAAACTTTAGTTTTTCCTTTTGGGCCACCCTGCCTCGGTGGGATACGGCCAGTGTGTTGAAAGAAAGAAAGAAAGATCTAAAGATGGTTGACACAAACCCACTATCAGTACAGTATGTTCCTCGCTTAACTACTAATTCGCTTACCGATCTACTCTTAGGAACAAAACTCAGTCGTTAAGTGAGGAGTACCTGTAGTCCCAAATCTGTATATGGAAACCACTCCCTACAAAAGCAAGACTCAGCAGGCAGTGCAACATCCCTTCCATGAAAAGCAGGGGTGCCATGAGTATGCTAAGAGACAACACAATAAGAATTAGGGGCTGAAGACCGTTTAAATGCCTCCCAGCATACATAAGGGGGATTACCCATAGACCCCTGGCTGTCTTCAAAAGAGAGCTGGATAGACACCTAAAGTCAGTTCCCGACCAACTGGGCTGTAGCTCGCATATCGGTTTGTGTGCAGCCAGCAGCAACAGCCTGGCTGATCAAGCCCTGATCCACCTCAAGACTTGGTCACGAACCGGGCCATGGTGGCGTTGACCCCCGGAATACTCTCCAGGTATAACACACAAGGCGATCTTCTGAGACTTTTTTTCGGAAGAGAAAAGCATGCCTTGTATGCCAAAAAATTAGGAAACTATTAACTGTGAAGAAGAAAAAAATGTGTCCCACTTGTGAGAATGAGTTATCTGTACCTCTATTTCACTTAAGATATTAGCTTCACTTGAACCCCCAATATTAAACTTACACAGATGCCATGACAGAACCAGCACAATTCATCATGACTCTTCACTCAACATTGATTAGTCAGTAATCATTATTGTTTATCATTCAACTTTGACATTCCTGTATATTTAATACCTAAGTTATCTACTGAACGTGCAATATACTTACATTTAGTAGCTCTGCACTGTAGGGTTTCCCTGCTTTGTTATGTTGGATCAACCTTAATAAAATGTCTTGCCGTGCAACACCATCTACTACTGCACTAAATTCTTTCAAACACCCTTGGCAATCCTGAGATGTAAAAATGTCATCTCTCTTGATTAATATGCCGAGGAGTTTAGCTTGACGCTCGTCCTTCAAGCGAATCTCGTGCAATAACTCATCCAGGGTGAGATCCTCGTCAGGGTCATAATCAGGATCCGCAGCCACTTGCTTGAAAAACTGCAAGAGGCCTTTATACTCACTCATGCTCAAGGACTCATGGATTTCTGGATATGAATCAAAGATCCTTAGTATATCAAAAGCTATGTTGCATATGACTGACTGGATGCTCTTCTGAAGCACTTTTCCATTGTGAACTAAAGAATTACCATGGACTGTTAATGATGCTGGTAAATTTATGTCATTCCAATCCATCCACACATCCACACTTATAGACTCACTATTTAGCTGACATATAAGTAAGAGAGATTTACTGACTTCTTTGACAAATAAAAAGCTATGTTGTGTGCCAGCTTGATCTACTTTAGTTTCCCATAATCTTTTCCAAGCTTGCAAGGACTTGTAAGTATCAGGTTCTTTTAACCACTGACCAGCACAGACAGTCAGCATTAGATACAAGTATTCACATACATACATGTAATAGTAACCACTTGATTTAATTAGAGCCTCTTTCGAACCTGAAACAGTCTTAGAGGACACAAACTTCAAAAATAACTTCAAACATTCCATGTCACTCATATTATGTTTTTGGTCACCTTTACATTGAAAACTAAAGATTAACACTTTCAAAAGATCTAAAGTGATTGCAAGTGTCACTGGTGTTACTTCCTCAACACTAAGAAAATACTGTTTTATTAGTTCTTGGATAACTTCTGGTGAAAGCCAAGACAAAACTGGAGCCAAGAAACGAAAGCTTTTCTGACTCCTTACAATGGAGAAAAAGGCAGATTCTGGAAGTACTGGTAATGTTACAACAACAGTCTGGAACTCTGTGCTGGTTTTAACCCTTGGAAGGTCCCGTATTCTTGGACTACATAATAGCATTATTAGTGTTGCACGTGCACAAAATTCTTCATACTGGTCTTTATTAACACTTGGGCAAATTTTCTTTACTCGTACAAAACAATCATTGATGTTCTTAAGCAGTTTTTTATCATTAACTGCTTCCCCATCTGTAAAAAAAAAAAAAATTAATAATAGTTATTTTTTTTGTTCATATTTCAATTGGAATATACTGCATTTTCTGGCATATTAGGTGTTTAAAGGCATTTAAAGGCATGTAAGATGATGTTTCCAAGCAGTCATAACATAACATTAGTAAACAACTGCTAAAGCGTAACACAAAGCCTACCCTTGACCCTGACCTTGAGCATATAAGGCACAGGCTGATTCTCCAACTTCTTATGGGGAAAAAAAGCATGCCTTATACATGTATGACGGAAAATACGGCAGGTACAGTGGTCTCTTTAGTTATGATGGGCTTGAGTTATGATAATTTTGAGTTATGATTTGCCCGATAGAGGAATTTAGTTTTGAGTTGCGATGAAATGCTCTGCATACCCAGGGGCCAATGGTTTTGAATAAGAGGCATAGAAAACCAACAGGTTGATAAATGAGACACTTGGGAAACATTTGGGAATTGTTATTCTGGAAACATTTTGCCAGTCAGTGGCTTCTTAAGTTTAAGGCAGAAAATGGTGGAAGATGAGGAGGAGTTTGAAGTAATCAGTCTCTCAGCCTGGAGTCAATATGGTCAGTCCATCAATCTCAATAAAAATGCAACATATTTGCAGAGATTGGGTTTATATACTGCAGACAGATGAGGCAGTCACCAGTGGACAAACCTGCTAGTGGAAGTATGTCATGCCTATAGGTTAGGCAAGCTTTGAAAAATTCCCTGCATTAAGAACCCAAAATGTTGTTGTGTCTGATAGAATTTGAATAAATTGATAAGCTGATAACTGACGCTTGCGCATGGGACTGAAGAAGCCACTGGCTGGAGAAATGTTTCCAGAATAAAGATATTGTCACTTTTCTAAGCCATTTATTCAAATTTTGTGAGACAATAACATCTGAGGATCTTAATGCAGGGAATTCTTCAAAGCTTGCCTGGAAGTTTTATTAAATTATATTATTTTGTAGTGTAACCTCAGACTAGTTCAACTTGTCTTTTGACAACTAGACAATTACATATAACTTTTAAACTGTGAATTATCTTGTAATTTTTTTTTTAAGTTTCTCTTAATACCATGTATTAAATCCTTAAAAAAATAAATAATAATATGTAGAGTTTAAGACTAGATTAAGTTTTGCCCAAAATGCTGTGCATCCTATGGGCTTTCAGATTAAGATTAAGTTTATTTAGGTACAATTATCATACACAGTGTAATGGGAAACCCATCACTTCAGTATCTTCAGTGAAATATCTGGGAATCCCCTTTGACCCAAGCATGACTAGAGAAGTGATAGGGAACAGCTTAGTAAAGAAAGTGAATTCCAGGCTAAAGTTCCTCTAGAGACAAGCTCAGTGTCTACCTACTGAGGCTCGCAGGACCTTATGTCTAGCTCTTATACAATGCTATATAGATTATTCTTGCTCTTCATTGTACTCTGCCTTAACAAAAAAATAAAAATGAAAGACAGACTACAAATCATCCAGAAAAAAATGGTGAAATTCATCCTGGACCCGAGTCCATGAGAGCATGCAGGCCAGGATGAATTACAACAACTGGATATGAATGTTGAAGACAAAGTAAGGTAAAGCAACTAAGGTTAAATCATGTTCATAAAATTGCTCACAAGCAGAGTCCGAATATCTCGCTGCCAAGTTTGTCAAGGTTGGGAACCAATACAAGTATGGTACTAGGGAAAGTGAACACAGTTTTTTAGTACCCACAGTAGGTGGTCAGGCCTCAAACGCCTTTTATTGTACAGAAATGAAAGAGTGGAATGGACTGCCTGCACATGTCAAAGCCTGTCCTGGAGTTTACCTGGAGAGAGTTCCGGGGGTCAACACCCCCGTGGCCTGGTCTGTGGCCAGGCCTCCTGGTAGATCAGAGCCTGATCAACCAGGCTGTTACTGCTGGCTGCATGCAATCCAACGTACGAGCCACAGCCCGGCTGGTCAGGTACTGATTTTAGGTGCTTGTCCAGTGCCAGCTTGAAGACTGTCAGGGGTCTATTGGTAATCTCCCTTATGTATGCTGGGAGGCAACTGAACAGTCCTAGCATAAGCCAGTTCAGGAAGAGAGCTGAAAGGTACCTAATGAATGAAGCTAGAAAGGGAGGAGAGTGATTACTTGTATAGTTAACATTCATATACCTATTCTAGTAAGTTTATCCTATTCTAGTAAGTTTATATAAATGACTCACTTTATTCCTAGTATATCTCCTTTTATTGTAACTGATTTTCACACAGTTGAGTATTAAGGTGTTTTTAACTTTTAAGGTTTAAATAATAAGATATTACAAGAATCCCAATGGAAATAAGTCACCTTGTTTGACTTTTTATACTAGAAAATTTACACTATGTGTGATAATTGTACTTATGTGTACCTGTGCCTAATTGAACTTACTTACCTAGAACAACCCAAAAATGTCAGACAGTGACTTATTGTGCACTTTTATGCACAGTAATTCTGAGGTGCCCATGACCTGGTAGACAACACTCATGCCTCACACACTGAGTATCTGTGGTTCAATCCCCAGCAAGGGTGGAAACATTGGGCGTGTTTCCTTGTACCTGTTGTCCCCGTTCACCTAGCAATAAGTAGGTACTGGGGAGTTATTCGACTGGTGTGGGTGGCATCCTGGGGGACAAGACTGAAAGACCACAATGGAAATAAGACAAGAGTCGCTTGATGACACATGATACAGCTTCCTCTTGTGCTTAACAATATTTTCTTACATATAAACTACATTCTGTACACTGTAGAAAGAAATAAAGTTGTTTGTTTGTTTAGTGACTACAATTATGAAGTACAATAACGTGTAAATTACCCAGGATAACCTAACAGATGAAGTGACTTATTTCCACTGGGGTTCTCGTAATATCTTATTATTTAAAGCTAAGCTGTAAGATACAGTAGAAATCAATCATGATTATAACCTTAAAAATTCAATCAGGAAAGGCAACTATTATTTATTTTAATAAGAAACTGAACGAATTATCTGGATAACTCGCCGACGACGTCGCTGATTTAAGATGTCAATGACATCACCTGATAATGAAAAAATGAAACCACTGAATATAATATATTCAGGAAAAGCGCTAAAGCAGTAGGGGTTATCTGGGAGAAGAGAAGGCAATCAAATTCAATACAAGGAAAGCAGGAATGCTTGATCCCATAACCTGGATCAAGAGCCCATTACATTTTTAAAATAATTTCTTCAAAATTTAAACACCAAAAGGAATTATAAATTCACTAAAATATATAAAATAAAAATACAAAGGACATCTTACCAATAGATGCCTTGAGGGCACTTATAAACCACATTAGATGCTGATCTATGTCCATACTGAAGTGTTCTACTCAGCATAATATTAAAGTATTCCCGCAGCGCCGAGCAACGTGCTACTGTGTTCTCAACGTTGAGACGCTGAACACTCTTGTTGTGTTGGGCTGAGTGGCGGTGACGGTCCCAGCACCGTCTAAACCCTCACACCCAACACTTGTTGTGTTGGGCTGAGTGGCAATGACGGTCCCAGCACCGTCTGAACCCTCACACCCACCACTCTTGTTGTGCTGGGGTGAGGGGCAGTGCAGGTCCCAACACCCTCTGAACCTTAACACCCAGGGCCAGGAGCTGAGTCTCGACCCCTGCAACCACAGTTACATAGAATTATCATACATAGCAGCATATGTGTAGAGAACCTAGGATAACCCAAAAAAGTCAGACAGAGTGATTTATTTCCATTGGGGTCCTTTTACCTTATTATTATAATATAAAGATTATAATATTTTCTTATTATTCTATAATGAAGATAACATCTTATTATCATACTAAAAAGACTATCTACTACACGAGGGTCATTAAGACTATCTACAATACGAGGGTCATTACTAGGAATAAGGTAAAATTTACACGTATGTTAGCTAAAAAATAGAAAATCATTCCCCTCCCTTTCTGTAGCTACATTCATCAGACACCTTTTGACACTCTTCTTGAACTGGCTCATGCTATGACTGGCTTTGACATGTGCGGGCAGTCTGTTCCATTCCTTTATTGCTGTACAATAAAAGGTGTTTGAAGCCTGGCCAATGACTGTGGGTACTACAAAGTTGTGCTCTCTCCCCCTAGTACTATGATTGCTTTGGTTCCCAACCTTGACAAAATTGACAGCAAGATATTCTGGACACTAATTGTGAGCAATTTTATAAACATGATTTAGCTTCAGTTGTTTTACTCTGTCTTCAACATTCAGCATATCCAACTGCTGTAATTCATTCTGGCCTACATGCTCTCTTGGTCCCAGCCCCAGGATGAATCTTACGATTTTGTTCTGGGTGATTTGCAGTCTATCTCTCAGTTTTTTTGAAGAGCAAGCGTAATCCATATGGCATTGTATAAGGGCTAGACATAGGGTCCTGCGAGCCTCAGTAGGTAGACGCTGTGCTTGTCTATACAGGAACTTCAGTCTGGCATTCGCTTTCTTTACTACACTGTTCCCTATCAATTCTCCTGACATGCATGGGTCAAAGAGGATTCCCATGCAAGTACGGCGCTACTAATTAATTGTGGACTGTATAGAGTGTATTGCTTTGGCTGAATGAAAGGGGGTGTAGGTTACACACAAATATATCCATCAAGGAAAAAACACTTGTATATAATACCACCACTTACCAGATATTCTCTGGTGGTCACTTGATGTAGCTGGATCACCCACGACCTATCCAATTACAACATACCTAACTGGCCAGTATCACTTTGCTATAACTAGAAGGGTTACTTAACTGTGGATGATTGATGTTCCTTATTTCTTCCATTCACCATCTCATTTCGATGTCCTGTTACACCAACACGGTTCTTATTCCAGCAGGACGAGGTATCCATTGGTTTGTCCCGGTTTAGAAGTCGTGACTCCATAAAAACTTCACTACCCACGGGAAAGGAACCACGAGGTAAACAGATGCTCACTCTGAGAACGGTGACTCATTTCACTTCACACATTCTCTTAGTGTTATTATCACTGATTACTTCTTAGCCCACCATACAGTTTAAGTATCTCATAATTATTATACACATTGGAGGCTACTCCATTAAGATCTGAGACCGATGAGTGATTAAATCACGGGAATTTTTCCCCTGGACACACTCCATGGTGTCACGCCAGTCACAACCGGTCCTGCCATTATTCACTAATTTTACCACTTTATTACGGTGGTCCCGTAAATCATGTTCCCTCACTCTTCACCAGGAACAGTTATGACACTTCCTATTATGAAGTGAGGCCTATATTAATCCCTAAGCTGCCTTGAACTCCAATTTCCTGGTCTCATGCTTTCCCAGCCTCTTAACTCCATTCAAAACACTCCCGCTCCCTGATGCCCCATCTAGACCTCCTCCCAGCCCATCAGCGCAGGCGCAGACGGAACCTCTTGGTTCTCTTCCATATTTAAATACATTTTTGGCCCATATCAACACATTAAACACCTATTAGGCACTATAGTTTCGGAAAATTAAAATATTTTCCACAGTCCCAGCACCGTCTGAACCCTCACACCCAACACTCTTGTTGTGTTGGGCTGAGTGGCGGTGATGGTCCCAGCACCGTCTGAACCCTCACACCCATCACTCTTGTTGTGTTGGGCTGAGTTGCGGTGAAGGTCCTAGCACCATCTGAACTCTCCCACCAACCACCCTTGTGTTGGGCTGAGTGACGGTGACGGTCAAAGCACCGTCTGAACCCTTGCACCCACCACTCTTGTTGTGTTTGGTTGAGTAGCGATGACGGTCCCAGCACAGACTGAACCCTTCCACCCACTAGTCTTTTCGTGTTATGCTGAATAGCGGTGATGGTCCCAGCACTGTCTAAACCCTCACATCCACCACTCTTGTAGGCCTGAGTGGCGGTCTGAACCCTTGCACCCACCACTCTTGTTGTATTTGGTTGAGTAGCAATAACGGTTCCAGCACCGTCTGAATCCTCACACCTACCACTCTTGTTTAGTTGGGCTGAGTGGTTGTGACGGTCCCAGCACCGTCTGAATCCTCACACCCATCACTTTTGTTTTGTTGGGCTGAGTGGTTGTGACGGTCCCAGCACCGTATGAAGCCTCGCACCCATCATTCTTGTTATTATTATTATTATTATTATTATAATCGAAAAGAAGCGCTAAACCAAGTCATTCCAAGTCATTATTATAGCTTTACATATCAACCTTAGATCATATATTCACAATTGTTAAAATAATCAAGGTGCTATTCTCAGGTGCTGAAGTGTAATAAGTTCACTATTTTGCCATTATATTCCCTAGCTCATTTATTTGATTGCCACTTTATTTGTTCACCACAAAACTTTTTTTTAGTCCCTTTTATATTGTCTTCTTTATTTTAGCTTTAAAGAACTACCTTAGCTCAATTTTTTTACATTTGTTAAAATAACTCAGGTGCTATTTTATAGCTTTGGAATATTTACTTTGTTTTATACTTAATTCTAACTATAGATTCACTATAAATCTTATAAAAAGCACTGATCCAGATACCAACCTCTTACTGAATGACTTAAATGAATCAAACAGTAACTGTAATTACTACACTGCAGAACAATCAAAGGCACTTCTCAGAGCCAACAAAAACATAACTGTCTTTAAGTACAATATCAGATCTTTAAGTAAACATTACGATGACCTCACAGCATTACTAAATTCCCTGCATTCCAGTATATCCATCATTACTCTCACCGAAACCTGGCTAAAGCCTGATACTACAGATGTCTATGCCATTCCTGGTTACACAGCCATACACAACTGTTGGCCAGATCAACAAGGGGGTGGCACAGCTATATACTACTCAGGCCAACTAGAATGTATCACTAATACTTGCGCAAGGGATGAACATGGGGAATACATAATAGCTAAATTCAAATCCAAATACCTACAAAAACCTCTCACATTGATAAACATCTACAGATAACCACAGTCAAACATTAGCCGTTTTAATGACAACCTAGGAAGTATGATAACTGATGCACGATGAACAAAGATCACTTGCTTCTCTCAGGTGACTTCAATATAAATCTCCTGCAAGACCAGGACCCACACGTTACTAAATTCACAAACACTATGAGTAACTGCAAGTTGCTACCAGCAGTAACAAAACCTACAAGAGTTACAGAGACTAGTGTTTCCCTACTAGACCACATCTGGACCAACACCATATCCCCTTTAAAATCAGGCATAATCACAGATAATACCACAGATCACTACCCTACCTTCCTCATCACAAATCTTGGCAAATTACCCCAAGACGCTACTAAAGTCACTTTCCGACTTCACAATCAATGAGGCAGCCATTAATAACTTCACAGCAGCAGTGACAAACATTGACGAATGTATTAATAATTTTGTAAAAAAGACCCAGGCCCGGTGGCCTGGTGGCTAAAGCTCCCGCTTCACACACGGAGGGCCCGGGTTCGATTCCCGGCGGGTGGAAACATTCGACACGTTTCCTTACACCTGTTGTCCTGTTCACCTAGCAGCAAATAGGTACCTGGGTGTTAGTCGACTGGTGTGGGTCGCATCCTGGGGGACAAGATTAAGGACCCCAATGGAAATAAGTTAGACAGTCCTCGATGACGCACTGACTTTCTTGGGTTATCCTGGGTGGCTAACCCTCCGGGGTTAAAAATCCGAACGAAATCTTATCTTATCTTATCTTACCTTTATAACAGGCATTGCCCCCCAAAAAACTAAACAGATGACAGCAAAGAGACTGAACATTCCCTGGCTAACACCCAGCATCCTCAAATTCATAAATACAAAGCACCTATACGAAAAACAGTACAGAATGGATCACATAACAAGAGACCAAACAAAACGTTACTCGTCAATCCTAACCAGCCTAATAAGAAGGGCTAAAAAACTGTATTATGAGAACAGATTATCCAACTTACGAGGTGATATAAAAAAGACCTGGAAAACCCTATCAGCAATTCTAAACAAAAAAGATATCACGAAATAGCGAAATTGAATTTACAAAACCAGATGAACCCCAACTCCCACCAACTGAAACAGCAAACAGACTCAATAATTTCTTCTCCACTGTAGGAAAATACCTTGACAATAAAATCCCAAGCTCAGATACCCCACCCAATGACTACCTCACTGGCAACTACCCGAGCACACTGTTCCTAGCTCAGATTAACCCTACTGAAGTCTCCCTTATTATCAATACACTAAAAAACAAGACAAGATATTTAAATACCCTACCACCCTTTACATACAAAAAGCGTCACAAGTACTATCACCAATCATTGCAACACTAACAAATCCATACAATCCTCTACCTTCCCTACAGTTCTCAAAATAGCAAGGGTCACCCCGATCCATAAAGGAGGAGACCAAACAGACTTGAATAACTATAGGCCAATATCCAACTTACACCTTCTCTCTAAAATCTTCGAAAAATTAATTCATAAGCGAAT